ACCTGTCTCGCGTGACTCTCACCACCCCTTTATAAACTCAGCACATCTTCCACTTTTCATAATGCATTGTCAAACAACACCAAGTGTTCTGTTGTCGCTGTGATTGTTTCCTTTCCTATTTTTCACGAAGTGGTTCCAATAAGTGTTCAAAGGGATAGCTAAATAATTTATTCCATGCACGTTTTGGAATAATGTGGATTGCACTGTAATATGAAGGTGCCGTGCACTAAAGTAAGTTTTAATAGGATAACCATTCTTTTAGAAAGTCTCTTTTTCAGTACAGGAAATGTTCCAGTGAATGTCACTAACTACCTAGCTGCACGAGTGCGGCACAATAAAATCACTGTAAGTTGAAAGTACCGATTGACATTATCTTTTAAAACTGTAATTATTTTTATTTGACTTGCAGAGGACAAAGGATACTGTTAGCCAAGTTCGACGTCTGTACTTAATGCCATCCAGCCGATAAAGTTAAGCCACGATACACACACACAGACACACAAGCCCAGCTTATAAATATGCGAAGTATTACCATAGCAAGTTTTAATGAACGATAGCTTGCATTACGTGGCTACTTCAGTCAATCACCGTTAGAACACAACTCGATATTCACTGCGGAGGCACAGGCAGCTCGTTTCCTCCAAAGAGCTCAGCGATCCGTGCCTTCTCGGCCCTTTTTTCACAAAGGTTTTTTTTTAAAACTGCTTGCGCTCTCAGATTTCAGGGCTGGTCTCCCAGGGGAGGCAGGAGCCGAGTGCGCTTCAATCAAACCCTGACTTCTCCACTGGGAGCACAGCCTGAAATCTGATCTCGCCCACTTACTGCCTGCCTCATTCCACGCGTTTTCTTTGAGCGTAATAACCTCTCAGTTTATTGTAAACACGTTTGGGAGGGGGATGCTAGATATTTAAACAGGATGTAGCAATTGTGAAATCGGTATCCAGTGTACTTAACGGCGCAACGTGACCGATAGACTAGAAGTGGCGGCCTGAGCAAAGACGTGCCTAGTAAATAGGTAACCAAACCGTATGGTATCATGCATCCAGAAGGTCCTGCAAGGGGTGCTGCCCATGTAAAGGTAAATGTGCAGGTCCTGAGGTTAGTCACAAAAATGAAATTATGCGAAATGCTCAGCACGACACAAACTCTTAATGCAATGGGCGCTTTCAACAAATCGCCTTGAGGCAGATTCCATGTTTGCACAACTTCTCTGTACCGAAGGTAAAGAAAATATTGAGGGATACCCGGTCCAACGTAAACAACCAGAATGTGTTTACCATACGGAAGAAGTCATTTCCAAACTCTGACACTATCATGCCTTCAGGTTTTTAAGGAAATCATGTTGCTTTTCCTACTATATTACAAAGTACTGCACGATCATATGTGCGAGTATAAAGTATATTTCAATTCACGGTCATAAAAAAGAGAATAGAACTGTTCATTTGGCCGTGTGAATTCCTACATATCCTACGCAATGGTGATTACACTTTGAAAGAACTTCGCTTTGGACATCCAGTGGTCGTAAAAGGTGCGAGATAAATGCACGTCTTTTCTTTGAATTGGAAGGTTAAGACGTTAAACAGGATTTAAGTTAATCAAGTCTTCACCACTGATCGGATAGCAAATATCTGTAGAGAGATCAAAGTGTAAACTTTCGGATATTTTTAAGAAGTGTTTTGAATGCTTGAGCTTGTGATTGCCCATGTGTCACTCGAGTCCTGCTGTAACACACAACTGGATTTTTAATAGATTCTAATTAAATGGCTGTGCGGTATTTTTTTAATTACCCGATTTACTTAACGTGAACAAAAACCAGTTCAGGATAATGTGAATCTTGATTCAGATTCGAAAACCTCTCCCAGGCCGCTCTGCTGTGTTCGCCAATCTAATCTGATTTCAAATTCTACGGGACTACAATGAACTATTCGAGATATCCTGGTAACACGTGTCTGCACATGACGCAGTGCTGTTGTGCAAAAACCCAACCCTATGGCAACATTTGATAGCAATTTGTATTTTGCCTTCCTACAATTTACTCATGTCTAGCGTGCGAGGTGAGTGCATTGCACTAAAATAATTCAGACCAAAATGTATCTGTTCAAATGTAAATGCTTATATAAGCAGATCAATTAACATGTTCCACGTAGCCGCCTCAGGTTGAAATTAAAATTTCAAAACCAAGCATGCATTCAACGCACGGCTTACAATAGACACCTTTAAGGAATGCTCAGGTCTAAGTTCAGCTGTACCTTTTAAACGAGGCAAAGCCTAAATTTGCATTTTCCTTATATTCCCTGCGATGCTATCAGATTATAGCAACCTCAGATAAATCCAGTGGAGCTACAGTATGAACAATATAGTCTTTGGGGATTTGCATAATTAATACGGTAAGTTTTACAAATTTGCAACATCGCTGTTCTTTAATCAAAGTGTCACAAACCTCCTCATTTTTGTTCTGGTGGTTTACTTTCTGCTGTCAAAAATGGAACTGCCAAATCTATTACTTCTGTCGCTCCAGAATTATGCAATATATGGCCAGTCCGGAAAGTGAAGCTAATTTTGCAATTTCCAACCACCCAATGCACGTGGGTGAGAGCTCGAGGGTGGAATCTTTTTGCATGTCCTCTAGAGAATCCAAGAAACGTATAATCAGATACTGAAGTGTTAAATACCATACTTGTCTCCTGTGTTAAGACTTTAAAGCCAGCCTTCAAGCTCCCAGTTTGCAGGAAACAATGCAAGGGCAGTTACAAATGGTCAAGGCAGAAGGTTCCCAACAATAGACTTTCCATCCTTTCATTTATCTAAGCTTGTCGCAATGAGCCTCTGCACGGCACTCCAGTTTGCGCCTGTTATGTAAATCCTCACGTGTAATATTAAAGCAAGGCATTGTTGAAATATAAAAATCCACAAAATAAGCTACACAGAAAACAAATCAAAATCGCCACCGCAGGTCTCCCCATTGATGCAACTTCGTTGGGAAAACAGCTTGTCGAATTAATGGACGAATTTAAAATGCATTGGAGACCACAGTGGGAAGAAGGAAGTGACCTTCTTAAGCAGCCTTTACACCAGTGAGCGACAGCTGAGAAACAGGGAATACATGGGTTGAACCGCGCGCTCAGATGCAACACAGATTTTTTTTGAGTGCTACGTGAAATGAGTAAATTTGGAACAAAACTCTCGAGCTGCGAAGTAGAAAATGCATTGCCGATACATTTCTAATGTTGATTTTGTCATAAAGCTCAACTAGGTGACAATATATCTAAACCACACGTTTTAAAGGCTACTATTGGTCACTGCAGCTGTTGCAGCATTATGTATACCCGGCAGCTGCTCGGATTCATTGTAGTTTACAAAACTTTACACATAATGTTGCTGCATGATAACAGTAAAAGACGTATTATGAAACAATAGTATTATTGATAAACTGAGCACAAAATAGATGAATAAGACAAATAGTTGCCAAGAACTGAAATGGAATACTCTATATTCTATTTCGGTTAAGAATTGGGTTCAATTAATGAAATTTAACACGTCAAATGCCAAAATATCACTCTTCAAGAAACTTTAGAAAATGTCTGCTCTTTAGCTGGACCTTGATTGTTTAAGAAAATCTCAATTTATAGGTTTAAAAATCCAAACACTAGACAATTATTTGCCAGAGAACCCAATGAGCGCGAAGATAATGCGTCCATTGACAGACAGGACGACATAAAACTGCAGCACAGAATATCCCTGCTTCTACCTCGAAATAGAAATCAGTATCTAATAACATTGCAGCATATATTATACTATCATGTAACAAGAAACGTTTCTCCACAACAATGCAAAAGGTTGGCGGTAAGCACCGGTTCCCTGCCATTACTATTCATCAGAGTTCGTGTTTGTGTTGATCTTGGCTTAGCAAACACACAATTAACTCCTACAAACCTTTCAGTGTCTCTATGATGATAGTATTGCGAATGGCACCTTAAACCATTCTTGACCAAGAGATAGATGTCAGTTTGTGGGCCCTCGTTTGGATAACAGATTCAGTGGGCCTATCTTAAGGAAATATTTTGTTCATTTAGCCAAATTATTCTAAAGATGAATATGCAACAGATTTGTAAAATCAAAACACGTTTGCCGTAGATTTTGTTTCGAAACATAACACGTGCTGAGAAGGCAAGATTGTATGATGTCCGTTATTAGCTCGCGTGAAGTTAATTACGTGTATCTTGTTTTGAG